CCCATTCAATTTTTCTTTTATCAATTTACATAGTGATAGCCTGTTGCCCCCCCTGGAAAATTTAGTGCCCCCTCCCCCCCTAAACTAATTTTTCCTAGAAACGCCACTGATTCCTATCAAGAGCTTATTGATACTTTTATTGTCGAGTGCAAGATTAGCAACATGCTTTCAAATATATAGAAATCCGTTTCAAGAGACAACTTTGAATTATTTACAATGTCAGACTGGGCCGTCTTGACATGTTGAATGATCTGCCTTAAAACTTAAATACGATGATATATGCCTCTCGCAGAAAAATACTCTCCGGATGTACTGAAGCTGAACTACGAGACTGATTTCAGAAAACCTTCTCTTCTCTAGGTTATAAAGAATATGTGCCGCCCCTTCTTAACGTCAATATAGCAACCAGAGCTATCAGACCGGGTAAGATATAAATCTTTCACATTCGAGCAATAATAGTTCAGCATTGTAAACACTTCTAGCATTATATTATACATATTAGTATCCGATTTAAAATGGTCATGTCTATGAATATGTTCAGTTAGGTGGTATTCCATAAGATGCCATGGCTTATATTTTCATAACAATTTTACTAGGGACCTAAGCTGTGAAAAGGTTCTTATTGAAGGCTATAAAGTTCTACCTTTCACTTTGTGACCTTGGCAGTTTGAAATATGTTTCATGGTCATGGTTCCGAACTTCATCTTTCAACTCATCTGCGTAGTTTTGGACATCATCGTAATAGTTCTACAACTTTTCGAAGCAAACTATAGTTCCCATCTTGTGTAGCTTTTGATTGCATGTGGAATATTGAGTACGAATTTTTCTATTGGTATTTTGTAGGCTGTGAGAGAGTGTTCCAGTGTCCACAAGACCTACAGTTCTTTATTTATCCCGACTGGAACAACTGTAGTAACTACAATACCTGTGTTCAGGGTATTATCACGTCTGAAAGCTGCTTAACTCTTGGTTTTCCGTGGTACAATCCCTCATCCTTCGCATGTGAGCAACAGATAAATCTTAATAACGTTTGTTTCTTCCGAGCTTAGATTATTTAATTTTCACTCTATGACCTAGGCTAGTGCTTTCATTGCAACTCGTCTCATTACACCCTAACACCACTCCCGAGTGTTCATCTTGTCTGTGATCAGAATCGAAATACTTTTTGAACTATTACTGCAGCCCAACAACAAAATACTGTACAAAACAACAAAAAATACTGAAACTACATCTCAATACTGAAATACCGAATATCATCAATTCCAAATAATTAGTTTAAGTACTGATGCAACTCAACACCGAAATACTTTTTTACTTTTCATTGAATTGAATTACTCTACTAGAAATGAAACGTTGCCAAACTTGTAAATAGTGTTTCAGCTTTAAAATACCAATGTCGTCATTACAAAATGCATTTGTCGATTTGTAAAAATGCAAAATGTATCAAATTATTCTCCAAAATCCAATGAAATGCCACACGAATGCAGACATTCGTGTGGCGTTTCATTGCATTTTGAAGAATCCTTTTACATTTTGCATTTTTGCAATTCGACAATTGTACTTTGCAGCATTGACAAATGCATTTTGTAATGACAACATTGGTAGTTTAAAGCTGCAACCCAATTGACAATTTTGGTAACGTTATACCTCCATAGAAATAGCGTAAATATTATATATTTCAATATTGAGATACTGTACAACACATCACTGAAATATTGTATGGCTCAACACTAAAATACTGTACAACACATCACTGAACTGAACTGAATGTGATAAATTTAGATAATTGCTGTGTGGAATACTGAACACCGGATAATGTTAATGATACTCATTTTTGAATTTTAGTCACAACTGTAAACTTCTTCAAAAAATTGGCATTAAAACTAGTCATTGAAATCCTGGTCATTAAAGTAGTAATTCCACCTGTTTCTATGAAGGAATGTAAAAAGCTAATAAAAATTATCCACAATGTTTTATTTTTGTTGTATTATGGAATGGTGAAGTATTATATTGTGATTGGGCTACTCCTGATGAGCAGGTAGTGGGCAATGTAAGGAATTTTGCATAACGGTTTACTCTTTTCCCATTTACATCTATTGAGATATCTTTAACCCACACAATCTGGAGCACATGGGCACGACTAGGCCATGTCCTCCCCTCCGCATTGCATCATCTCTCGATCCCATCGGAATTAGACCATTGATCACGTAGTATGGTCTTTGGAAGCATTTACCACGGAAATTATTTATTTTAAAGGGGTAATTTATAAAATAGAGTAATATAAAACATGCATTACTTTTAAAAATAATTATTTTTTCAATTTTTAAAATTAAACAAAAATGCTTTTTCATGATATATTTTAATGTTACCTTTTAAAGGCTACCCAATCAAAAGATTCACAGAATCTACAAAATATATGATTATTACTTAATCTATTATAAAGTTTTTCTACTCATTCTTTCAACCTGTCCATTGTTATTGTGTTAGTTTACTGTAACGTTGTCTCGAAATGAAACAAGACACTGTACAGTCCAAAATCACTTTTTCGTGTTACTATTACACCAACTTTTCAGATTATACAACAGTGATGTTATTACAACAGTAAAACATTCTCTCTGATAAATTAGAACAGGCCTGTCCAAATCGTCTCATCCATTTCCTAAATCTTGATCTTTTCTTTCCTGAAATATGAAAACAATAGATTGGTGAGCTTTCATAAAAACAGTGTTGTCGGTTTGGAATCGTAAACTCTGAGTGAATCTGTTGACAAAAATAGTTTGTCGCATGGAATACAATATGAACGTATATTACCATCGTTCTTGGACCTGACAAAGTTATCAGCGCCATTACTGCCGGTACAACAGATAACTCCGAGTAAAATATTAATGATGAACATGATACTAACCTTTTTTGTTAATCTGGTCAATACAGATCCCTTCTTCAATAATTTCTATCTCGTTTTCTAATTTATTATCTTCTACTGTACGTTTACATTGTGGTTGGATGACTTTTTTCTGCATTTTGGATCTCCGTCCGTAAATAATTTCAGTTATTTTACCGTCTGTAATTACTGCTATTGTTGGTTCTAGATGAAGCCATGGAACAACCAATGGAACTTCCTTCTTCGTCTTTGGGATATCTTTATTTATATGTTCCTCAAATGTCGAAATTCTCGCCTTTACAGAACCCTTTTCTACAAGGCAATCGTTACAGGCTCCGATAGATGTCTCAGTCTTTATATCAGTGGCTTTCAATTCTTTATCAGGAACACCACATGTAGTTGGTTGATGTTGGACCTGTGTTTGTTCTTCCTTCTGTTCTGACTCTAGTAAGGTTTTTCCGTCAACTTTCTCTGTTTTATGCTGATTGTTTGTCACTTCAAATGAGTTGGATTCGACTTTCTTGTCAGCTTGTTGGTTTGGATCAACTGATTCCATTTGTCGCTCTACGTGTTCTTCGGTATTGGCAACAGGCGAAGATTGATTCTTGGGCGATTGAATGTGTTTCATTGGTAACATCCTAAAAATCAAAACATAATGAAATCAGTATTTTGTAGATCATATTGAACTTACGACTAATCAGAAAGCTTAAGAAAAAGATCTGATTCACTATCACTAGATCTTACTAAACTTTTTAGTATCGTTTAGTTTCATAATGGTATTGGTGTAGCAAACTTGTGTTGGAAACACTGAGACATCAAAGTAGACTTAAATCCGAAAATCTTACCTTGACTTCAATTCATAAAATTCTCAGTAAAATTAGTAAATATTTAAGAGAATTTGATGAATGCGTCTTCTCTGGTATAAATTCCAAGATGTGATAGAACAATCATTATGACGTTATAATAGATAGTAGAAATAACGTCATTACAATTATAACGTTACGTCTTTCTTCTATTCTTTGTTGTATTCTTCTTATTCTTGAGATGTTCACAAAACATTATCTACGAATTCGATACAATTTTTGAAATTTTGAGCCGGTATTTCTTTGATGCTTGATTGAAATATTACATATCATGAAAGTCTACTGACATACGTACGTCATTTTGACCGTCGATACATATAGATTGGTACGGATAGCTCGGAAAAGACTACTGTAGATACATGTCATATCTTCGTGAAATATAGTTAATTTCATTCCTTATTTTCTTCCATGTATGCTACAGATGCCGAATGACGAATGTCTGAGCTTAAAGCTATTCGCAAAATTTAGGTTGTTTGTGTTTGCGAAAGATCTTTGTCAGTGATGTGAGGGTTTCTGTATCCGACTTTGGGAAATAACGACCCACGCCGCGACAAATGGATAAATTCTCATCAGGACAAAACACACAACATAAATCACATTTTGTATTAATCTAAATATGTTAATAAAAATAAATAATAACATGTATATACAAATAACTAAACGACATTGTATTTTAAATAAATAATTGGTAAGACAAGTTCGTTTTGGTATTAGAATAAAATATTTAAATTGTTTATTGATGGTTGTTTGGCCCTATTCATACATCACCTATTCTGATAGTGTGTTTGATGTAGGAGTATGTGCAGGATTAATCGGTATATTTTAAATATCTACATAAAAGTTTCAATCGAATGTTATGGTAAGCACATTTAAAAAATCGGAGTATTCTTTATATAAATGTGTATACCACATGGAGACAATGTCCAAAATGCCATCACGCAAAGAATTCTTATATTGAAATGAGTTGGAATCACAGGCATCTGTTTCTATCAATAGTCGTCTCTCTCTATAATAGTATATATATGAGATATATACTAATATAGAGATGGTTGACTATTGATAGAAACAGATACCTGTGATTGGAATGTATGATTTAACAAGGTGAAAAATAACACTGTGTGTCACCAGTATATGCTTATATAAATACTTTAATACTTGGAAGACAAAACATATCTTATAAACTTCCTCAAAACATATTATGGTATACATGTATTAGAATGGAATTGACAATCAAATTATAATATGACTTAAATCAATATTTCAAGATGATTGTGTTTTCATGACAGTCAAGAAACACCTGAAACAGACTACAGTTAATATTTCCTATTTTAACATAGTCATACTTGAGAAATGTTTGTCAATTTTACACCATTTCACACAATTGCAAATTCCAGGCCCAATTCATTATCAATACAGTTAAAAATTAACCAAATGGTCATACAGATATAAGTGGTTTTAAATCAAACTATTTTTCTATTCAGGGGTTTAGTCTTACTGGCAATAATTGTTTATATCATCATCAACTCTTTAGCACTAAAATTCACATAAAAAATTATCAAAATTTGCCTAGCTATCACAGAAGATTATAATTGTTCAAAGGGCTTTCAGAAATGAACAAAATGAGATATAATTATTGTGCTTTATCTATTTCCAACCACTTTGTTATCAGAATTAATTTTTTTCTGTCATTTCAATATCACATGGCTTAGTATGTCTTCAGGTCCATAGAAACGCTCAATCTAAATTTTAAAATAAACACATTTTTGCCGAAGAAATTGCACCTCAAAATGAACCTCATTTTTGACTGGAAATTTCCAAATTTAAAAGATTTATTTTTTCATTTGTAGTTATTTCTATAATAAAAGACAATCTAAGAACCATCCCTAGTATCCCTTGTCTTCATTAGCATAACAAGCAACACATATGGAGAGAATCTTCTTAAAATTCATCTTTTTCCACAAGAGCAGATAATCCTGTTGTGTCATCTTCACCATACTATTTGTTTATATTCCATTAAAACTAAACCTTTTACAGGTATGTTGAATAAATTAATTAAGTGGTGTTGTAGCCTTGAGAGAAATCTATCTTTAAAGATGACATTTTATTTTCTGACATGAATGGAACCAAATCAAATTTCAGACCAACAAATCATGATCTCACTTGTGGTTGTACTGCGCAATGAAAAACACAAACCTTTTGATTTATTTCATATTTGATTTTAGTGGTTGTCACAACTATATAAATGAACTTGAAACAGTTTGATCACAAATATTTCATTTAATTAAGGCCTCCTTGGGAAAAGTTCCTAGACTGAGTCAACACTAATGGTTTCCATACTGGCTACAGTTCGCCGGTGGTTTCTTACAGACTAGTTGACAACATTGAGTTTTATCTTAAAATACTTCACTTTCACATACTCGCATTTAGTAAGCTTGTTCTCTCTGTAGGAAACTCAATTTCCTCTCTGAAATAATATCAGTAAAAACATTTGTTACAATAATATTGAGGACAACTGATTTCTCTGATTTTGTTATTCATTCCTCAAGGGGAAGCTATTAAGGTGGTTGGTGAAATTTTCATGTGACTGCAGCAATCTAAATAAGGACATGGGCACCGTTTTACAAAATTTATTGCCATAAAAATCAGTAGAAATACCATATTAATGAAAAAATTGATTGTAAGGTTTTTTTGTGTAAAGAAAGATGCGACAATATAACCTCCATTATATGTTTTTGATGGATTGCAGGAGAACTAGATGACTACTTTTAATTCTGAAAAGTGACATGTTTTGAGCTCTGTCAGAAGGTTGATCAAATATTAAGATCACTGACATCATTCAAACCTCGCACCTAACATGGTCGACAAATACAGTATGATCCTGAGTCAGATTTAGTTCTAAACTATTTGAAACTTACTTTTCAAAACAAGGAAAGCAAGAACAAAGACCACAGCCTTTAAACTTTCTATCATCAAATCGACCTGATGATGGTAAGTCACTACATTCTTCTATAAACGTAAATAAATCACTCTTAGGAAATCCATTCTCCCAATAATGCTGTTAGAACAAAGGAAAAAAAAGAGAATCAGAGAGCTGACAATTAAAGATAGCATACACCAATTTATAACAAACATTGAAATATCATTTCAGATCTCATCTGAATATATAAACACAATATATTGTAAAAAATCTTTTCTTTTCATCTGCAGTTATATATTGTTCTATTTATGTTATATATTTATTACAATACAACTTATTGCTCTTAATTGGACTAATGAAGATGTAATCGTATACAATATGTATTAAGAAAATTCTAAAAGCCTGTCTATTTCCAAATTTGAAAAAAAACTCACCTTAAGTGTTTCATATGTATCCATAATAACAGCTATAAATAAACTGAGGACTATATAGATAAATAAACTAATAAATATATAGAGATAAACTCGACTAAAATACCACACTAGATTATTATTAGTCTCAGTAGCTGAGAAGGTAACAAACATATCATCACCATTAACCAGTGAAAATAAACATTCTGAAGTAGTACTCAGATGACGAAACTACAAAAAATAAAAAATGAAAAGATGAATTGAAAGATAGTGGACCACAGCCCAGCACAGCATGCAGATGGTAAATATTCAAGATTTTGGGGCAAGGGCAATTACTCTGCTTCTAACGGTCGAAAATAGCTCAAGTTCGAACTTGATCTTCGTTTTATGAATATGTATACACATACCGAATTTCATTTGATTCCATCAAAAAATCTAGTTTTTAGAGCGTTTATAAGCAAATGTTGACGAACAAACCAACAGGGCTGCCGACAATATACGTCTACATATATAGAGATGTGGGCATATAAAAAAGTGTTTAATTATTACATTATTTCAAAATGACAAAGTCTGCTAGGTGGATTGGTAAAAAAAAAGAGTAATAACTGTCAACTGGCTTTACCAACCAAAATCATTCCAAACTTAGAGAAAAGAAAAACAACCAACCTTTATATGGTAGGGCCCTAATATAACCCAACCACAAAACATAAAACCGAGATAAAGTATTAAAGCACACACCATAAACCTTAATACATTAGGGAATGCTGTTTTTAACGTAACTATTAAAATCTGAAAATAAATAACATGGAATTCAGTGTACATATAAAGAAAATAGTGCAAGGAAAGCATCATAAAGCATACTCCTTTTGGATATCCAACTGTTCTTCAATGTACACAGTCTGTAGCTCACAGGCTGTATGGCTCCAATGATTTAGTCAATTCCTTCTGAACTGTATCACTGGGTAGGGTAAATTAATTATTACTCCACAGAGCTAATAACATTCACAAGAAAAATATCAGGGTTGTTTATTTATTTTTTTGTCAGTCGGAAATTTTTCAATAACCTTTGAAATTTGATCTCAATTTCGCCGTAAGAGAGGGTCTACTATACCATGTTCTACACCACTGGTATTGTCGTGATGTTTGGCAAAAGAAAGGCAAACTGTGTCATTTAACTAACAGTTCTACTTTATTACTAATTATAATTACTCTGCCAGGCTATCAAAGAATGTTTAAAGTTTTGAAAAAATATTGGGTCACCTTGTCCTTTGAACCTGTTTTTCTCGGCAATTTGCTCAACATTTAAAATTATTATTTGAATTGAACCCATTTTACCCCTTGCCTTTCAAATACCTTTTTTGTTTTTCTCAAGATTGCCATAATTGATTTTGAAATGTAAGATCACCTAAATATTTTGCAGAATATTTCTGTCATATTTTCACTGAATGACACATCCTAAACAATTCCCAAATCATTAGATAAGATCGTTTTGAAAAGTAAACATTCAATTCCTGACAGCCATTTTGTGATAATAATATTTAACACAGTAGCTTAGCTCCTCAATATTATATTGAGTTCCATATAGAACTATACTTGATTGACAGTTGAATGTTTCCACTTCAATAGAGGTTTTTAAGGAGAGAAAAAATATATAAAATGAAAGTACAAGATATAGGTCAAACACATTTAACAGGTTATTGGATAGAAAACTTACATTTTTCTGAATTTAAGTTCGTTTTTTGCAGGAGATTAACTGTAAAAATTTAAAACTTTCTTGATTTTTGTCAGAAATTCAAAACATACTTCAAGAGGGTAATTGACAATGTTTTAATAGAATATAGGTCAGAATTATCTTGCTTAGATTAAGGGAGATAACTATGTTTCAGTTTCTAAATGTAAAAAATATAATAATACTATACTCACATTGTATTTGGCAAAAAATCCCAAATATCTCAGAACTCCACACCAAGCTAATAAACTACCTGAACCCAATAATATACTGCATAGGTCATAATTCTCAGATAAACTGGAAAATTTCTAAAATTTAAATTATAATCAACTTTTTACTCCTTGAGAAATGTGCCTAGATATGTGTTGTGTATTGAAGAGGAAAGGAATAGGTAACATCCATTTTATAAGAAGGTTATTAACCAACTGCAAGACAACTCAGAGTACTATAAAGTTACATTAAGATACTGCCTGGTTGATATATCATACTAAGATATTTCATAGTTATAATGTATAGATGGAACAATATATCAAATACAGCTATTACTACTGACAAATAATCCCATTGTGCACTGAATATCTTCATATTGTCAGTCTTATCCTGCAAACTGTGAAATGAAGTAGGACATGTTTTACAAAAACAAATTTCACAGTCATGTTCACCTAAAGGGTAATAATATCACTGATTTTTCTTAACAGACATATTCATGAGGAGTTGATTCCATTTTTATGAAAGTTCACACAACCACAACAATAATAGCTAGTAACTCAAGGGGATTATTCATGTTTAGGGATATAAATTCTTAGATTTGGTGATAAAAAATGAATGATTTGACAGAAGATTGTAATTATGATAGTTAAATATAATTAAAACGAACTCTCACCTTACTTTCTAACATTATTTTAAAACAAGAACCTGCCAACGTCAATATGTCATTGATAATAATCAAAACATACCACAGATTTAAAAACTCTAGTTGTTCTGATAAAGATAGTTGTTTACCAAAACGATTACTAAAAAATATTACTGTTGCCTGAAATGATTGAAAATGAAACATGCTGTAAAGCTAAAACCAAAAGAAAGTCTACAATGTTACTACTGTTAAGTATTTCATGAGAAGTCAATTTAAACCAGTTGATTATCAAATTTCATACTCACAGAACCATGATAGCTTTAAGTGAAGCTAACCAATTTAAAAATGCCAAAAAGCCCAACTATAAAGCTTTTACAAAGAAAGTCAGGCTTATGTGTCAACACATGTTCTTATCCCGAGCTTACTTTGCAACACATTTATCTAAAAGGCATCACTTTTACTTGAATGAGATACATCAACATTATAACATAAGGAAAGAACTTATCAACTAAAAATTGCCTGATCGTCACAAAATCGATACACAAAATTCATGCTTTACCGTAAACCAATCATTAAAAAGCAATCATATAAAAGCTGTCCAATACCTCATATTTTTGCGAAGTACAGCACTGAAAATCAGTCAAAAATTGTTTTTTCATCCAAAGAATCATCTGGCAGAAGGTGTGACAATAACATATGTTCTCTACTACGTTCTAACTCATATAGGTCAAATTAAAAATAGTACCAGTAAGATATACCTTTCGTAGTTTTTGAGCTCTGATGATAGATCTAATACACAGAAAAGTTGACAGTATTACTACACACATTACCACAGAATCATAGGCTATCAACCGGTCTCTTATATCTCTTTCTTCAGCTGAAAAAATACGTTTAAAACATAGTCCTTTAAATATTTGCCTGTTAGGGAGGTATATTTTCCAGCTGTTTTCAGAAGCAGTTATGACCCAAGATGTCAAGGCATGTATATCGTTATTATGTCAAATGCATTTCAGATTCTAAAATACCTTACAAGGAATCTGCAGAAATCTGGTAATTCAATTTAGATAAAAAAAGATAGTTGACCACAGCCATATATGCCCACCATGGCATGCGGATGGTAAATACATAGAGAGATGTGGGCGTATAAAAATAGTAGCACTTTCTACATGAAAGTAAGCAGACATTCGGATATAGTATAAAGGTCTTTACCAATTTTAATTTCAGGAGAACTGAAAAATCATATTCCATTTCTATAAAGTGGTACAAATATCTGAAATTGAACTCAGCTAGTAAAGCTGAATTTTTTTTCCACTATAACACTTTATTTATTTCATGCTTCATGCTACATGCATCGAGCAATAAAAACGACCAGCCTTTACCTTGATGTTTACCTGTTGAAGGGAGCTTACCTTCAACATCCTCTGAGAGTATTTTACCATTACACTCTATTTCAAATATTTGTGTGTTTAAATCTATCAGGGTCTGACCATTTCTTTGGTTATTATCAAATAGTACCTAAAAATATAGCAAACAGTCAAAAATATCTCAAAATCACATGAAATATTTGCCACAAGTGTGAAGTGTTAACAATTGACAAAACTGACATTTATCTACTTTGGAAATACTGTATAGCCCTGCTGTTAGATCATTAAAAACGATGGTTAGCTAGCCCATGGTTAACTGAGATAGATCAATGCCTAGAGGTTTGGTTAAGACGAGACCCTTCCATAGCAGATAATGTTTTTATGTAAAATTTGATACTTACATTAACTTGTGTTTTAAAACAGGCAGGTCCAGTATGTCTTGTTAATAAATCTAAATGATATGATCGAAACGCAATTTTCAACTCAATCTTTATTAATCTAAAACAGAAAATAAATTATATTTTAATAATATAATAATATAATCATCATATTTTGTGTCTAGTTATAAAATCATCATATTTTGTGTCTAGTTTTAAAGTCATTATATTTTTATCTAATTATAGAATCATTATAATTTGTGTCTATTTATAGAATTGTTATAGTTTGAGTCTTTTTATAGAATTGTTATAGTTTGAGTCTTTTTATAGAATCATTATATTTTGTGATTCGTAATAAAATCCTAATATTTTGTGTCTTGGTGTAAAATCATTATATTTTACAGAATCATTATAATTAGTGAATGTTTATAGAATCATTGTACTTTGTGTCTATTTAAAGAATCATTAATTTGTGTCTAGTTATAGAATCATTATATTTTGTGTCTAGTTATAGAATCATTATATTTTGTGTCTAGTTATCGAATCATTATATTTTGTGTCTAGTTATAGAATCATTATATTTTGTGTCTAGTTATCGAATCATTATATTTTTTGTCTATTTATAGAATCATTATAAATTGTGTCTGGTTACAAAAAATCATTATATTTGAGAAACATATTAGCATAAATTAAATAAATAAAGAAGGAATTCTACCTGGTAAATAAAATAGTGAGATTTTTCTCTCTTAAATATTCCAATATATCATAGGAAACTGTTTTATTTTTATATACTATAGGTTCTATAGGAAAACATACTGAAAATATACCATAACAATATTGAGTCAAAAAAATATTCTAGTAGGCCTACTATTCATATACATGTACTATAATTTTTTTTAAATTTTTTGTGACAGTGTGCCTGGATTTCCATCGCATATTTCCAAATATTAATATCAGTCTAAAAGCAATCGGTAATCATCAACAGAATCATATAGACTTTCTAAAACTCAGACTGTTAAAAATTACAAGCAAATGTATTCATAAAACAAAGATTACTCCCTCTTTTGACAGTAAAGAAATAAACTTGAAGAGTTTTTACAATGGTAACAGCTATTAATACACGTTAAATAAACATAATTCTTATCTTTTGAGCTGACAAATCCTTCCCCTTTAAAACAGAAAAATTGTAGCTAGAATACATCAACTTACCCGTATGAACATCAGGGTCAATAATGAAGGACTTATTTTCAAATATTGAAACTTCATTATAACTTGTTTTACACATTTGTATAGGTGGTGGAACTGATTCTGTACCATTTGTATCATTCCTCTCCCAGAAAAATGTTCCAATAGCAACTTGTGGTATCCTGTAATACTAAATGATATATTCTGTATCAAATGAAATTCTGTAATATTACTTCTTACTCTGCCATGGAGCCTTTTTCAAGGGAAATATGTAAGAGATGGGAACTGATACTGACTTATGATTTACATGAAAGCTCTGACCAAGTCATCAGAAGTTAGGCGATTGCTGATGAAACATGATATAGATGCATAATGTTTCTACTGAATGCATATAAGTAAAACCAATATATTCTATCTACACATTTACTGAGGATTTTTTAACCAGACAAGATTATTAGGTCAGTATCATTAATTATAGTCTGTGTGACATCAACTTGTGAATGGTGCATATAGAAGCGTCTTTAAAGTATATGGCTAGAAATGCCCCTTTAAACCCGTTTTCAAGGAACTAAATATCAAGGGCAGTGACAATTCTTATTCTAAACCAACTTTCAAGGACACATAGCTATCTATTTCTAGCAGAGGTGATAATATATTATCAGTGTCAGCTGGTTATATAACACCACCAGGTTTAATTATGATAATGATAATGACATATTCAATGCCTGATAAGATAATTTATTTAATCTATTGTAACAGCTCACGCATCAAAATTTGAACTTTTAGATCCCATCATAACACATTTTCTTCTGAGATATTTCAACGAGAAAGGTCAATTCACATGAATATAAAAGAATAAAAGTTGATTTGCCACCAACACATTGACCACTAATAAGATGCAAATTATTGAGACTCATTGCATAAGAACATAAAAATAGACAAAGATATACCTGCTGCATAATATGATCAATATGATCTATCAAATCTTGTTTAGTATAAACAGCATAGTTTCCAACAGCAGGAGGATATGGCATAGTTTCATAAGCTGCCTCCCAATTCTTTAGAAATATGTGTTTTAGTGCCAACTTGTTTCTTTCAAAATAATCTACAGTGCCTGATCTCTGGCCTGCAAATATTACTACCTGGAATAAGAATTTTTGTGGTGCCAAAAAAATACAAATAATACAAAAAACAATTAAATCGCTTAGATAATGAATATCAAGCAATTTTAAGAAAGAAATTTAAGGACGAAAAATTTAAAGGAATATTCTTGTTTTATCATGCAATAATAATACAAAATCATCACACTGTTACAATGAATATCCTAGAATGTGATAGACAAAGATTTATTTTGGGAATTATCAGAAAATTTGACTGGTTGAATAAGTATTGGATACAGATAAAATTCCTGAAATTATGGATTACAAGTGGAATTACCCCAATAAATAACAAGAAACAAAGCATCAAACTTTTCACATACCATATTCACCAGATTGTGACAATAATCAAGCAACAAGCAATAATCTTATTGTCTTACCTGAGCTGTTATTATTATTATCTTCACAATTTGCAAACAGAGTTTCCATGGAAACCGTCTTTTAGCTTTCCATTTGCTGCAAGGATCCATGAAGAAATACTTTAATTTACGTCGAAATTTGTCCTCCAGATTTGGAGTATAGTATGAAGATTGTCGTCTGATTGGTTTGATGGGTTTCTCTCGTTCTGGTATTTCATGGTTATCATCTGAAATATGGTTGATGCTGTGTTCAACAACAGTTTCAATATTAGCCATATCATTAAGTTCTATAATAGATAAAACATTGATTTCAATATTTATTTGGTTACATAACAGGGTGTTGTTGATGACTTTAATGGTGAACCAAACTGTCCTTAAGGTCATTCTTCAACCTCTAAGCTTTTTGCTACAAGTTCAAAAACTAACACAGAAGAGTAGGACATTAAATTCCATTCATTTCATATCATTTCCAAAACTATTATTATGCCCACTGTCCAATCCCAGCAAGACAGGACCTGCTTAACTTGAACACTTACTTGGATTTAATGGTGAAGATTGAAACTCCACAAATACGAAACTTTCAAAATTCATCTGGACCACAAATAGTCCAATATCACAAAAATAGTGATAGTCCACTCACAAAGTGCTTACAACTATAAACATTATTCACAAATCAAATAAACAGCAATGCCAAGCATGACTTTATCACAAGTATCACAGGAATAGCTTATATAGATAAAAATTGATAGTTTTATTCTGTATTCTTGGAACCAAGCTTGTTATACACTGTATACAGTAAGATTTTTTAAAACAAAACACAATAAGAACAATCACAAGACAAATAATATAGACAGCTTTCAATCACTTCATGGGACAAAAGTTTTGTGTCTAACAATAAAGTATATGGCATGAGCTTGCATAAATTCTGTATCATTTTGTCCTAATTTACATTATCAAGGTCATTATCCATCATAAATTATATATCATTAACTTTGACCTTGAACATGATTTTGTATTTTTTTGATGACATTCAAAGATAAATTTACATCAAGACATCAGTTGTTAATCATCATGTTCTCTGGGATTGAAATCAGTTTCATAAGTGCTATTGAATAACTCCCCACAAAACAGTGAGTCACTGATTATTCACATTCAGAAGAGTTTCAGAAGTGGTAGAATGCCCTGCTTAGTCAGAGCCGTAATTCAACAAAAAAAAAAGGAAAGAAAAAACAGACACTAACAAATTTCTCCTCTCCAAAACAGGAAATAAAAATCACTTTCTAACTCTAAAATTTTAAAACATTTCCTTATCTATGTATCATGACCAAACTCAAAGTTAAATTTTCCCTGTCTGAGGCAAATACAACTTCTGAACAGTTTTTAAATGCTGGTATCAATCAATATCGATATTGTGGATTAAAAAAAAATACCAAGGTCTCATGGTGCAATCTATTAATTGTATATGCTTAATGAAAGCCAAAAAACCAAGGTATATTATATCAGTTTACTCAAAACACATGATAAAATCTACTGGTGGAAACAAGTATCACCCCTGTTCAATTCTCCAAGATGTCACAAAACTTTGAGAAAATGAAAATAAAGGGTTAAGAAAAAGGAAGAAATTCTTGTCGGAACAATGGCAAATCAGATAAAAAATATCAAAACTTACTTTCGTTTACAGAGTCAAGTTAAAATCAACTTATGACAGCTTAATTATATAAACAAACAGTAGGCCTATATCTATTGTTAAAAATTAACCCAGAGACAAAATAATCACATGATTACCTATGTACATGATAGATAAGTCATATGATATCACACCTTGTCTTTATTATGGTATAGGTAGGTCACTATTTGATAGTAACTGTTATAAGTATTGCTACTTGATCTTAACACTAAATGTTTGGAACACATATGCATGCATGCATTGAGAAAGCTTTTGTTACCTGCAAACACAAACATTTGTTACTATAATTAACAAATAAGTTTGATTTTTAACATTTTCCTATGAATGTCCAAATCTTACATAATTTACCTGCACACAGAACTACCGCATTGAGGAAAGGTGCACAAATGACTTCTGGCTAGATGTTGGCTAGCTAGAGTGTGCGCTTGGTTCAACTTAATATGGATGACAAGAGCTTTGAGACAATTAACTGATAGAAACTGAGAGTAATATTGCCAATAAAAAGGCTGTTGATCCAGCTCTATTTTTTAGTGATGATTGGCTAGAGTTGCAACGTAGCTCAAATGTGTGAAAATGACAAGCTTCTGTTGGACATCAAGTATCTGGTGGTCAATTTATGGTACCGGTACTAAATTATAAAAGTCATATGAAACACAAATATTGAAAAAAAGTTGTGTGTCCTTACTACAAAATAATATATTGTAGCGATGATACTACGTGTTACATGTTGGCAATAGGCCTACCAAGCACAGAGTCATTAATTTTTCCTAAAAGGTAGATTATCAGATCATAAATATCTTATAAATACACACCTAACAGTAACACACCATCACAATTTTTGGAAGCTTTCATCATATCAGAAAACGTAATGTTTCAAAAACTATTAGCCTACCTTCTTCACGTAAACTGTTGTGACTATTTATAAAACTCCCTGAATTACCATGTTCAGCATTTATACCGCTTCCGGCCCTTGGTTTTCTTTTATGAGTTTTAAGTAGGCTGTCACTTGGAACCGTCAAAGAATTGACTTTGATGTCAACATCGGTGTCGTCGCTGTCACTAAAATCTATCGTCTCTTCTATTTCACGGAATGAACCACCACGGGGCCGTGATAAGGTTTGAAAGTTTGCTGGATTCATCGCCCTAGAATGTCATTCAATGAAAAGGGAAATATAACGAAAATCTATTTTAAATTTCTAGCCTATCAATAACTTCCTTTATTGGAGCAAAAACAAAGTATGGAAATAAAAACAAATGCACGTGATTTCCGGTTTACGACTATCACAAAGCAATCTATATCCTATATTAACGACAACCATAGAGTTATATATCCTATGACGACAACACACTACTGTATATTAGACTCAGACCACTAAAACATTATTCTGTTTGTCCATAGTCAAATACATGCAAGCCTATAATTACAGTGGTGTAACCCATTTTCGTGCATATAAGGATTCAACACCGAATTTCGTCAAAGTTAAAAAAAAATTAAAAAAAAATAAATCTTGCGTTTGGAGGAACATTCAAGCTTTTAATTTTTTCAACAAAATCGGCGATATCCTTAAGATATGACGGATGCTTACACGCTAATGGAAGTAAAAAATGGTCAATGTATTCAGAAACTCGGTAGGATTCGCTCGCGCAATCTGAGATAATAGGCCTGCCTTTAGGAATCCTATTGCCTAAAGACCATTCAGTTTCCGGGTTTTTGTGAATCTTCGGTAAAATATAAATGTGACGTTGACGGACTTCGGGTTTCGCTGAAAGACAGTCATATTGGGAATCAGAAATAAATTGTTTGTTTACTAAAGTTTTTAAAATATTGTTTATCTTTTGCGCAGTTTCCATGAAAATAGGTTGATCAAGTACACGGTAATGATTCGCATTGTTCAATTGTTTCTCTAATTCAAAAATGTAGTCTTCGCGATTCTGAATGACACAGCAACTGCCTTTGTCACTCTTTCGTATTATAATGGTCTGATCGTTTTTTAGGCTATTCAAAGCCTCAAACTTGGTGAGGTTGTGTTTTTCATTCACCAAAGATAAATGAGATATTTCTTCATGTAATTTATCGCAAGTAGCCAAAATATCTGAGTCAATCGCGCTGTCTGGTGGAGTCCAACCAGACTTTTCAATGAACGGTATTCGCTTGCCTCTGCCGAGTCTATTCCGAAAAAAGAAATTTAACTTAAAAGTTCTATTGACGTGTTCAACCGACGATAAAATTGGTTCATGGGAAAGAGTTTTAGATGTCGGAATAAATGTTAGACCTCTATCTAAAACTCTTTCTTCAAGGGGAGAAAGTTTTCGCGAACTGGACTAAATGAGGTTCAGCTAATTGTAGCTCCTTTGAGTAAGGAATCTGTGTGGCGTAAAGGGTAGCAGACGGAAATTTCGACTTTGCAAATTTGAGGAGTTCCAGCATTCTTCTGTGTATGGATTCTCCTGATTCCTGTTTATTTTTATTTAGGCCAACATGAAATAACACCTTTTTCGGAATGGTTGTTGGAGAGACCTTGGAGAGTAATGTATTGATATGCTGAATTCGGGCACCAGGGTAAGATTCGGCTTGGGTATCTGGATGTAGGAACGGGATGTTGCTGATGTTGGAAGATCCAATGATAACTGATGGTTTGGTGAGTGTGGGAATAGACCATTTGGATTTATCCTTCTCATTATTATGACGTCGTGTACTTAAAAAGCACAAAAAATACTTAAAGGGTAAAAAGTACCTAAAACGGTAAATTTTTATTTGAGAAGACAAAAAAGTAGAAAAAAAAATATATAACAACTTACAACAAATATCTTACAAAAATTGACAAAAAATGGGGGGCTCCTCGAAATATACGATCCGGATTTCGCTATTGTGTTCCATAAACATTCTCTGCTGACACGGAATTCGCTAGTTGATCACGTGACTTCATTTGTTGGACTACATTCTAGCAGACGACACTTGAAATTCCGATTACCGATTGGGATTTTGAATAGGTCGAAGTAAACATTTTAATACAGTTTACCTTGCTTGAAACTACTGGTTTCATTCTACTAGCTGACATTGTAGAGATAACCCATGTTTATCAAAACAAGCAAATGTGGAGGTCACGCAAGGTTGCACATGTAAATTATTAATCATTTCCGGAAATGCACGAAAAATAGGTTAGCACGAAATTAGGTTACTTGACTGTAATATCTTTATGGGATATAAAAGATTCTAAAGACTGGTCGCTGAGAATGATGAATGAGGTGAAAAATTCCAGATACGAAGTAAATCGCCTTTTTACTATGGTCCGAACATCTGTCTATATTACAGCCTCTGATAGTTATTCTGACAGTTGTGATCTGAAGTAGTTTCAGAAAAACATGGCCCTGTTTTATAAGTTTTTTCATGCATCTCCTGGTTTTGTTTTACAATGAGCGTATCAAAATATATTATCCGCATGTATATCAAAAAATATCAATCGCATGCATTATCACAATATCAAGTGGAGGCCAATCAAAATTTATCATGCGCCCGCTTATCAAAATATATCCTGCACATGTGCATCAAAATATAGAATATTACGGAAATTTTCTTTTTCAAATTTTTTTCATTATCAGGAGATGAAGGAAATGACTATCGTATCATTACTGCATACATCAAATGTGGCTCTTTGTTAGTGCATAGATAATAGTTACCCCCCTTTGACTATGGTCTATTCTGAAAATGTTGACCACGAGTTCTATTTCCATTCAGATCTTTCTGTTGCATTCTCGCACCGAGAACGTTGTTACCCTTTGATCAGTGAGATGGTCTGAATTAAAGTACAATTTCGTATGGATATTTTTGGTCTCCATTATAAACTAGCAAATGATTGTGATTTTTGACCAAAACGTATCATATGGTCCTTTCGTCATAACATGGTCGAATTGTGGGATAACTAAACTCAATTAATTATATATCTGGTAGATATCTAGCTCAATTACATTGGAGACTCAAAAATATATCAGGAAAAAGAATAGAAATTGTTGTCTAATTTTAATCAGATTGTGAGGAACAATATTCTAGCTATAGATGACAGGTGCTTCAATCTGATCAACCGACTACTGAAAAATGTCTGTTATTTCCGCCAGTTTCTCTCGTTCCCTACCGGTTGATTTCATTTGCCAATCAATTTGTGGATAGGATCGGGAGATGGAATTGGACAGTGGTTCACTTCATCCAAGTATTGCTCGTATTTATAAAACAAACCTTTAAAATAGATATGTCATAGTGGCGATATCATCATCTATCCGTTATCTAGAGGTCCACATGTTGCAGTGAAACTCGGTAGAAATTTCTAATAGTTTTGGACGTGTTGAGGAGACGATCAAATCAAATACTTTCATATTCTACTTGTACTCATTCTATTCTGTTCAGCTAAGAATTTTACAAATAATGAGACAATTTAGTTATCTGTCGAAATCCCCTTGACCCACCAATTTCCCCACACAGCTTTCTCGCATCTTCGAATTAAATCAGTGTTTTCCGATATTCGGTAGAAGCCTGCATCCTCACCATCTAATTTCGCAGGATGATTATATCTGCATTTTTCTTGATAGAAATTTCAGCCCAATTTAGTACAGAGTGGAATAATTTCCTCTGTACTGTTTTCAATTACTTAGTTCTATCATGGATGAATTATTGCCTTGTCATGATAAATCTATCAAACTTTTGACCTATTAACCCTATCTACTTGACACTTGTCCTTTATTGATGTTTTAATCACTTATTTACCGAAATAACCAAAATAATTGACCAAATTTTTTTGAATTTCGATATAAGGGGCGGATAGTTTTGTGCCCGAGTATCCCGATATAATTCAGTTTAATAGGTAGTCTTCTTCGTCTTCGTCGTAAAGAGGAAACACTTTATGGCTTATCAGCCCGGCGTTAATAATCCATTCAACCTCTTAATTGTGGAAAAGCCTACACTATAAGGTAGACATCCAATACACTGGGTTAGGTCAAGTCTGGTGATGGTGTTATGAATGTCGACTATTATTTACCGGAACTATGTCATTATTCTGGTAATTTAAATATCAGAGACTGGATGTTCAGGACTAATAATAATTGTAAACAAAGACAATGCAAGATTCGTAAGATCTGGATTCAAACTGACAATAAAATGTATAATTTGTGAACTAACAACCAATAGCATTAAATGCATAAGTAAGTGACAGGTTTATCTCCAAAAGACTCCATCGACTATATTTAGATCGCAATTTTATTATAACTTGACAAATCACCACTAAATACCGAAAGACACATCGAAATTATCATTTCATTACCTCATACCGAGTCAGATTCAGCTTTACGGAAATTGCCGAGGATTGCCGAATGATTAAACTAATGTCCCCCCCCCCCCCCCCTTTTACGATTCTATCGATGTCTTAAATCCACATAAAAGTTAAGAAAACTCAATGAATTAAGGCATATCGCATACAATTTTGAAATTGGAATAGTCTGTAAAGAGTTGAGTTGGTGCATGAACAGTCATTAAGACATTAAATTTCGTCTTATTTTTCAGTGGAATCATGGTTTTAATATTTGAATAATTTATAGCTCTATTTCCTTAAACAACAGACAACAAAGACAGGACCATCGTAAAGAGAAGGCTATTTTTGTAACTTGTATTATTTCAAACACAAGGTACATATTAAGATCTGACAGTTCAGACCAGCTAATTGATTTTTGGTGTTTTCACTCAATTATAATAATATATATACTTATATAGATTTCTTCATCAGGCATCATTCGATATATAGATTCATGTAATTATATGTTGAGATATTTCCAATATCTATTAGTGCTAATTGACTTAAACTTGTATCAACCCATTGCAAGGATATAAACTGTGTTCAAGAGGGGTCTTCTGATACAGTACTATTATACACAACAGCACCTATAAAATTCAATGTGGTCCAAACAACAGTCATTCCCAGTCATATACCAGTAGCTTGGTTAATAATTGGTTAGTTTGAAAAACGTTACTATACTTAAACGATGGCAGAAGATTTGTCTTCGAAGCAGGAGAACACATAAAATAATTGGAAACCTTAGTTGTTGAGAGTAGGCTGGTCATAAACACCTTTACACTGGCATCGTTAAATTAGCTACAACGGTAACACAAACGTAACTTTCAGGATACACCGTTTAGCAGCTGTGGATGTTCGATACTACAGAGAACTATGCTTGTTTAATGTCTGTCTTCTTTGGTCTTTACTATCTTTACTACGACAGAAAACATAATTATCTGAAATAGTCGTAACCGACAAAAACTTACGATACTAAAGACACTAGGATGTCCGGAACCATTTTACCAATATGATCAGATAAAATCTATTACGTATATACTAGTGATTAATAAATCAGATGAAATCAGATGTTCTTTCCCAGATCAATGGTCGGCCATGATATATTATATACGTTATTAGTCTAATAGATAGATGGAAGCGGTTTAGAATTAATTGGCAATTTCTGGACTGTAGGCCTATGTAATACCATAGGTTAAATCTATGACGTCTTTAAATGAAAGCTTCACTTATATCCTTGGGTTATTTCTACGGATATAATGAATATAAAGATTATAGCGCATTTTATGAAAATAGAAAAACAATACTCGGTATTTTTCTGTCCTGACGAAAGTTGTTCATGAAAGTGATATCTTTTTATGGTACCCTCATATTTTTTATTTCAAATTGCCGTGGCTCTCCTGATATGAGAGATCATATATAACTGGTTCATCTAGAACATTGCCCGGTGTAATATTCGTATGTTTGTCCACCCATTAATATATTACAGGTTTTCAAATCAATTAAGTTATGGCTCTCGTCCTTGGACAGATAAACCGTCCTTCTTCCTTCTTCCCACGTAAAAATTGATATGATCATAATCAAATAATGATGAATGATGTTTTATTAACTTTATATACATGGTCAAAACATGGTCAACATGCTATTACATCTGGTCAGTATTAATGATGTATATAATCAACCTCTTTGTGCTGTAACTGTAGTTCCTGTTCACGGAAATTAATACTACATGTATCAGGGAAATGTACTTGTATTCTGTATACTGCTATTTGATACATAGGATATTACTTCCAACAGAGATGAAGGGTCGGTTTCAACCTTTCAATGTCATTTATGTATTTTAAGTTAATTTTGAAAATCTAAGAGCTTTATGGTGATTGCCTAATGATTATGATAATCTTAAAGTAATCTTATTAGGAAATCGATCGAAATACTATAGGAAAATATAAGGTAACTAAAAGGCCAAATTAGTGAGAGAGACAATTTTATTTCCAAAAGAAAATTAAACAGCACTGGGTGGTACACGCCTAAAAGATCTTCGTGATAAAAGAGTAGTGAATTCAGTATGAGTATAAGATGCCATACTGATAACTCTTCCGCGTTCATTGTCCGATTCAATACATAATAAACAATGCAATAATTTCCTGAATTTCAAACGAAAATTTTCACTAAAAACACAATAGAGTATAGGATTGGCTGCTGAATTGATGTAGGCAAGAGTAGTCGTTATCACCACAAATAACCACGAGTCGTGGAAAGGCTGTGATGAAAATGTATTATAAAACAGTAAGATTTGATGTGGCGAATAACTCAGAAAATATATTATAACACTAGCTATCAACATTTTCACTACACCCTTTCTAGCTCTTATAGCTTCTGATGTTCTACCGCGATTGTTATGGGAGGTTCCGTTCAGTTCGGTTCGACAACGAACGGTTGCGTTTCGATGTAACGTTTCAACGCCGACGAATAAACGTTTACCTATTACTATATAACACACTAACTGAACTAGTAATGGTTCGAAATAGAAAAGCACTGATTCGGTAAATTTAAATATCTTCATATATTCTATAGAGTTTCCAGGAAAGATAGTCATACAGAATTTAACGTGTGAACCAGGGAATGACGATGCCACAGTATTAAAAATAGTCGTTGGTATTCCACATAACACAGATAAAATCCAAATAAGCACGATTACCATTAAAATTCTTCTTTTAGTACATAATAAATGGGCTCTGATAGGAAACACTATAGCTATATACCTGAAAAGATAAAAAGAGAAAATAGTCAATGTAAATCGTAATGGTTTTCCGGTTTTCAGATGTGACCTTTAGCTGAAACATCTCGAGAACCATCTATACATATTTAAATATTGTGACAAATCATTTCACAAAATTTACTTTAAAGTATAAATGCGAATATATGACTCCATATCTGGAAATTATTCAGTGGGTCCAAGGTGTCAATAAACTTAACAAGGTTTCATAATGTCATTGGTTAGAAAAATAAAAGTGTCCTTGTGGTGAAAAACACCATTGAAGCCCGACAAATCTGGACCTAAGCTATTTAACCCTGCCAATATCACATCCGTATATCACAGTCGATTTGTTGGGCTACACTGCTTTATGATAATTATGAAGGGGCTTTTTCGGGGTATCTTCCTTGGCTTTCACTTCTGTTAGAACGGGCCAAGTTCAAAATGACTCATTTAATACAGAGATGTATATAAGTTTACCTTACGTATTGTGGTAAGGTTGAACATAAGATATGCAACTGCCCTGATTAATCTAACATTAATTGATTAAAAACAAATCAATACTCATTACTATTACTTGATTTCGAGCTCCGCCCAAAACTACCACAGGTTTTAATTAGATATTAGGACATGATGGTTAATTATAATATTTTTTGTTCTTGGGTTATGAGATATGAAATTGTTCATGGCCAACCAAACAAAAGACACTACTTTATCAAAATGACACGACAATACATTGTTTACATTATAACTCAATGAAATCTTTAGTGTAAATAATGATTATTCTAGCTAGAGCATTTATACGAAGCTGATTGAAATTCGAAAAAGGAGCAGGCAACAACTAACTCTGGTTTCTTGTCACCTTTGCTTAATTGCAGCCAGGTTTAGTCAATTTTTGTCCTCGTCCTTCAATACGATAAAATGTGTTTCCACGAAACAAGAGCTATCTTTAAAACTACGTATTTATGTTACACCAGATTTATAATTCATAAATGGCTTCAGTTAGAATGGCGGATGACAATATCAAAATCCAGGTCACTATACATAACAATTTTTTGCTCAGCTGGTAATACACAGTTTTTCATTACGAACTAAGATCATATCGTAAATATAAAACATTGTTTGGTACGGAACCTTATGTTCAAGTAGTTAAGAATAGGTCACACAGACGAGTTTTGTCAAAATTAAGAGCTGGATCACTTCCCCTTAGTAAATAAATGTACTTTTTAATGAATACTACTGATATTTTACCTCATTTTGCATATTGTATATATAGAATGTTTGAACAGAGGAAAACTGCTCTTTTAACCTAAACGTTTACATATTTATTTGCATTTTATGTGTCTCACTTTTATTGCTATTTATCATTTTTTAACCTATACTGTTGAATGTTTTAATTGTTATGTATAGTGTCTCATAAGTCGTTACCAGCTGGCATCTTAATAATTTTGTTTTTATGTAATTGTGCAATGTATTTTTGTACAGATGGTGACACTGATTAAATAAATCATTATTATTATTATTATTATTACTAACACGTATCGAGCAGATAGCCACTCAATTTACGAGAATCAGGGTGGCTCAGTGAGCCATGAAAAAATACCCTCGAGACCCATTGTGTTATAGATTGGGAACGTTTAAGATCATCTGTCCTGTCTAATAATTGTTTATAATATTGCGTTAAACTTGTCGGACTGTAGTTTAAAATTAATATCAGCTAATAATTCAATTATAGTTAAACCTTTTCTTAGATAAAATCTATTAAGTTGAATTCAGAATTGTTGAACGCTTTACAATTGGAGCGATTTGTTAAAAAAAAAGGGAAGCAATGTCGCAGCCCGGGCTAAAACGATTCTGAAAAGCGCAGTTTTTCCGGTTACAATTTCCTTATGACATTTGATGTCTAGAACTGGATTCTATAAGTTAATTCGATAATGTAAATAGGTTAAATGGTTAAAGGCAATCGTACTAGACGTACAAAATTATGGGGCATTGAGTTTCTTCGTGGTATAATATAACATAAAGATAAACGAAGACATTTATAACCTAAGTTCTCGAAAGCTATCAGACAGATACAACCCATCGCTATAATTACTACCGTAAACAGTTACTATAAAGTTCACTGACTTATTTTGATATTATATGATACAGAAAAACTATAAAATATAAATCACTTTCATACAATAACTATAATGGTATAACTGGATGGTAGATGACTAGTTATTATCCGCAAAATGAGAATCAAACACTTTATTCTATGGACAACGATAAACAGATTCTACGTCTTGAATGATCGAGTCGGGGATGTTACCCAGTTCTTCCTGTTTTATGTATTAGTATTATTAGCAATCCTTCACTTTCAAATACCATCTATGATCTAGCTACGCATCTCATGCTCTTGATTATTTAATATTGGAACAATATTCTAAAAACTTTATTCAATCAAACATGTCCGACTATTTGTGAGCATTTCTGGGATATTCAAATTGATAAACATTGTTTAGAATAATCTTTCTACTGTACTTCAAAGAGTGTTTTGATTGTACAGTATCAGATAATTTAGACGGAACATGATTTAGAGAAGAATGTCATCAGATCAAAGTTTATTAGTGCAGTAACCCACAAAATATATGAAACAACATCTGCATCTGCAATTTACCAATGATTTTGAAAAACTTACAACAACCGATCGGCAAAGATAAACGATGAAGACACATTAATATTTTCAAGAAAAAACTTTATTTTACCAATAACAATGATACTATTTCCATGTGGAATTTTCTGAGATTTGTGTTTTCCTTTCACGTCATTTGAAAATGTTATAAATGGAATCTTGAAGATATGTTCCAATAAAAACTGTCTAAGTTTGCTATTATTAACATCCTAAGGGTGTCCTAAATAAGTCTCACTACCGCTTGATGTTTGAACTTCTTTAAGTGGAAACCATAAGTCTTTGAACATAATGAAAATGAAATATAAGGCTGTTAGCTGTTTTAAGTGCTTCGTGCAATTTGTATGTGAAATGAATGATTCGGATATTATAGTCGTCTCAATATCGAGGTTCGTTCAGCGTTAAATTAAGTCTGAAGAGTAGTTTATGTGAAAGACTGCCGGATTACGTGATTAAGGCTTCGTTATTTCCTTCTCCAGATTTCCCAAACTACGACATTGCTTGTATTTTTTCCGATTTGGAAATGATATATGAAAGGAATATTGTCCATTTATATTCTCTTAAACGGCCAATAAATATTAAAGGATACAATAGTACAGTGGATGTTTAGATGTCGCCACTTACAATGAGTAACATCTTGCCTGTGAAAAGTTTGATAACGACCCGGAAGTGATGACTGTATTAACAGATTTTAGTTGTGAAAAATAATACATATACAGTACAACTTGCATTAAGTGCCTAAAAGTGGTTGCTTACTGGAGGAGGGTTGCCTAGCAGATGTATGATGCACCTAATGAATGAAGAATGATATTTAAACTCTTTAGACTTTAAGCTCTATCGGTAGAGGACTTATATATTTAGGCACCTATAACATAATCATTAGGCTTGTAAGAACACTTGTAATAATCTGCAGTTGATTTAATTCTGAATAAATAACCACCATGATTTTTGTTGTCACCTCGCTTAAATTAAAAATCATCAATTATTAACGTCTTTACTTGTCTTTGCAATTTCAGTGACATGACGAATTTTGTGCATTTTTTTATTATTCTAACACATAATTCAAATATGAGCTTCAAAACAGTACTTAAATATCTTTGTGTTGAAAGGTATGTAAATTTTGTAAGTTTGCATTGTTTCCCAGGTATTTCAACCACAAATGTCCCAAATTTTGACACAAAACTGTCCTTTGTATAAAAACGTTTAAAGGTGAAAATGTTTTTATCAACACAAAGTCGTTGCCATTCCAATTCTTATGAAAATAAACGGTAGAATTCGATATAATTTGATTAACGAAAGATGCTTTCAACTTAAAGGGGACAAGGGAGCTCAAGTAAGGTATAAGATTTGAACGACATATAGAAGCGAGGAGCACATATAACAAAAACACAAGACAATATTATGGAATATAAAACACTTCTTTAATAAGGTTGGGCACATAACGTTTCAACAAAATATACATGTGTCGTCATCAGATGTAATGGCAAGAGAATGGTAGGTAGGTAGGTAGGAGAAGAGAATGGTAGGTAGGTAGGTAGATGACAAGTTAACATTCGCTTCCAGCGGATGCTGATATCGCAAACTAGTTAGTTGTTGGTAGTCGTAGTAGTTGGTAGTTGGATTGGATCAAATTGGATGATTGGTTTTAGCTTCCGAAATAATGAAGCCCCAGTCGTTTGCCCATTTAGCAACTTGGTTCAGAGCAGTTTGCATTCGCCATTTAACTTTATTGAGGTCATTGTGACCAGTCCATATCGAACTGTCATCTGCATATAGAGCCGTGCTAACCGAGAGCTCTATATGCTTTACATAATCCAGGGCCAGATCATTGATCATAATGCTGAAGAGGATAGGGCTAATAACAGAGCCTTGCGGGGTGCCATTCTCCAACGAGTGCTTCTCGCTGAGAGAATTGGCGACGTTCACTTGTATCTGGCGATCCCTTAAGAAGTCTTGGATCCACCTGAACATGCGACCCCGAATGCCAAGTTTATTAAGTTTAAAAAGCAAACCATCAACCCAGACTAAGTCAAAGGCCTTGGACAGGTCCAGGAATACTGCACTGAAGTTCTTCTTTCCGAGTTGGGCGGCCATGTCGTGTTGAAGTCGAACGATTTGATCCATTGTTGACCGTTTCTCTCTGTAGCCGCTTTGGTTGGGATCGATAAGACCATTTAGTTCACAGTGGTATCTAAGTCTATTATTGACCATCGTCTCAAATGTTTTACATAGAGTCGAGGTCAGAGAAATAGGCCTGTATGAACTGCATAGACTTTTATCTTTCTGCGGTTTATGGAGAAGAGAATAAAACATAACTTAAAATATATACCAACAAG